GAGCCGGTTTTGGGTGGCCTTGGAGTACGCCTGCATGTAGACCGGGATATAGGCAGCAAGTGGATTGATGAATATGTCAGAATCCTGACCAAGACCAACTTTCTCCACGGTAGCTTTCCAGCCGCATTGGAAAAAGATGTCCTTGGTCGCTTGGACCTGCCGTTCGTAGGTCTTCTCGCCCTGCGCGTATCCCCGGTCTTCTGCATCATCTACGGCCTTGTCCCTCTCGGCTTTGTGCGCATCACGCAATTTCCTCAGCTCGGCGAGATACCGAGCCTTCGTCGACTTCACGGCCCGAAGTTTGTCCTCGTTAGCTCGGTCAACCTTCTGGCTCAAGGTATCTCATTCGGCCTCAACTGCTTCCTGCGCTGCTTTGAGCTTCGCTATCTCATCCTTTTGAGCCTTATTCTTGGCTATGGCATCCCGCAGGCTCTGCCGCACTTTGATCATCCGGTCGTGGGCCAAGTAGTTCTTTTGCGCGGCCTGAAAACAAGTGAGAGATCATCAGTATTCGAAAAACCGCGCAAAAACCGAGCAAACAGTTTGACGTAAAAAATGGAGAACTTACTAGCACTATGGATTTTGCCGCCGAGCGGAGGACCTTGAGGTCGGAAAGCTCGTTATGTTTTTTCATATCGGCGGGCAAGATCAACCCCTTGGTCAAATTGAAACCAAGCGAGTAGTCCTTGTCCGCGTACACAGAGTCTTCAGCAGAAACTGCTCGGCCCTGGTATTTGAACTTGGGTGCCCAGACCGGGAGGGCTGGGCCCTTGGATTTGCTGGTCCGTGGTTGCTCGGTCTGGTCCCTAAGCTCGGTAGAGATGTGATCAGTGGAGTCTTCATCCGCCAGACGCGGCCCAGTTTTCTCGTTCCTCGGCCGCTTCTTGGACCGACCAGCCGGTTGCTCGCTGGCAAACGCCAGCACTGCCCCATCTCCCTATACGGCGGGTGTGGAGGATGTCCCACCGGTTGCCTCTAGGTTTTGGGGCTCGTCTTCTTCCTCGGTGATCAAGGACTTGATGGCCCTGATTTTCGCCATTTCTTGCTCGGCGGTGAGTGGAATAAGCCTGATCGGTGGTAAGTTTGGATCCGGTTCTGGGGTTGGCGCACGCAGAAAATCGGTAACCCGGCTCCTGCACAGTGCGGTGTAATGGTAGGTCTGATCGAAGCCAAGCAATTTCGAAGCCTCCCTCTCCTCGGCAGGATGGCGCAGCAGGACTCTGATGGCCTCTTGGTTGGCCCGGTAGTAGTCTGCTGCTAGGTGCTTATCTGCAAAAAGAAGACAAGTGTTAGATCGGCATGGAAAATAATTGATACATAAAGAAAATAGCGCGGTCAGCTGAGCAACTCACCGGCACTACCAAAATCCTTTCTAATATACCATCCCGGTATGGGTGCCTCAGTGTCCTCATAGCGACCGGACACCCACAGGAAGTCGTCGTCGTTGGTCTCCTTGTCTGGGTTACCCTCTATTAATTTTGCTCGGCCCTTCTTCACTTTGAGGTACCAGCAAAATCCGCTCTTATTTCTACTAAGACTATACTGATGGAAAATTTCAGCTAGACCGAGATTGAGACCGAGCCACCGGTTCAGTTCGGCGACCCCGTTTATTATTTTGTAAGTGTTATATGAAACTTGGGTCGGGCAAAGCCTTGTCTGCCTCAAAAACTCACAGATCAAAGGTTAGATCGGGAAGCGGAGCCCTCCCTCTACTATTGACACGACCGTAAAGGGGCACCGGTCTAGATCTCCCCAAGGGGTGTCTCCCTTTTTGGCGAGCTCTAAGATGACGTCATCTGGGATGTTGTAATCCCTGCGAAACTCGGCCATCGCACCGGGCGAGCTAACCATATAGCGGTACTTCCCCATCTATCTCGGTCTTATTTGATATAGTGTATATCTCGGTCAAAAATGTTGGTGGGTCTGCTCGGACTCTGAGCTCCACCAGTTAGTGCTGGACTGGCTTGGTCAGTCCTATTTGTTCTGCATTGTTAAAAAATGAGGCTAAGGGTTAGCGCGGCATGAATTCCACGGCTCCCATTGGAAATAGCTCAGTGAAAGGATTTTTGATGTTTTACTGGCCTGACCCCTATCTCGGCTAGATTACTTGGTCGATCTCCTAGGTCGGTTCATTCCAATTTGTAAATTTTATGGATTATTCAGCTCGGTTCGGCTTTGAAGTGAAAGTTACAGCTCGGTGCTTCCTATTTACTAATCTAATTAAAGTATCCGGCTCGGTTGAGACCTCGGTAAGAAGCCACAAACTAGTTTTTGCTCGGCTATAGCCCTACCAATGGATCTAAATGAGCGTTTAGCTCGGTTCTACCCAGATTTCAGCTGTTCATCCTAGAAGTGGGGCGAACTCGTTTGAACCAGGGAGGAACTGGGGGTTTAGAGCCCCCCTCCTATTCTCAAGGTTACCATTTGCCCTAGGGTGTGCAGGTTCTAAGCAAAGAGAGGGGGCACTGGTGGTTACAAACAAAAATAAACAAGAATACGAAACATAGTGACACGGGAATGAAGAACATGTATGGAAAAACTTTGAGAAGTAGAAGCAAAAGATGCAAGGGGGGGTAGTGTGACTTACCAGAAGGACAGGTGCGAGGGTGAACGCGACCTCAAGAGCTCGATTGTGGCCTTCGAAAGGATTTGAAATGGGGGATATGGCACAGAAACAACAATGGCAGTGGTTCGAAAGCTTGGGAGGTTTAGGGCTTGTGTGGAAGAGAAGGTGAAAAGTGAAGGGTTTTAAGCCCTTCGTTGGAACACAAAAGAGGGGGAAAGGAACCCCAAACGGTTGCGCCGTTTGAATTTTGCGCGTGCAGAACAGCTGGCTGTACGACCCAGTGGCGTGAAGCCACGTGGCACTGGAAATGCGGCTGTCAGTACGGCTGTACGACCTTTGATAAGACTGCGGAGGAAATGGCCGACCAAACGGGACAGCTCGGCGATAGATATGCCCCCAATCATGCTCGGCTTGGTGATGGCGCAACTCATCCGTTAGCTCGGTCACGATGGTAACCCCAGTCACGACTAGGTCGGATGGGGTTAAGGGGCAATTGAAAGGGGAGATTTGCACCGTTAGTACGGTCGAGCTAAGATGGGACGGATCTGTTTTGCTCAGTCTTAAAGACCGGCTGATCGGCGTGAACTAAGCCTGGCCGAGCTGCGACTCGCAAATATTCGGCAGTGCACACAGCCAAGTGGCGAGACCGGGCTACAGATAGCTCGGGCTAAACTATGGACAAGCGAGGGTTGGTACGTCTTTGACCGGTGAGCTGAGATGGGCAGATTCCAGAGAACCTCGGATGAAGGTAGAACGGATGAAGGCCGGCATGCCTCGCGACCGGTATGCCACGACAAACCGGTCAACTCCAGCCCGGCCCATGAGCATCATCCTGTCGCCCCTTTGCCAAGGGGCAGTCCGGTGAGGCGTAGCGCGGTTGAGCGCCTTTAGTGATAGTTCTTCGTGGGAGATAGGCCGGTCGTGGTACTACGGTTAGGTGTGCCACCTGGGCCAATGGCACGAGGGAAGGGACATCTGCTCCACACATGCCTCAATACCGTTAGGCAGTTCTGCGTGTACTGATGGGAGGACTAAGCCTTTACACGCGTAAGGTGGTGAGAGGCGAGCACTGCCACCTGTCTTGGGAAGGACAGCAGAGGTAGTGCGCGCATAATCTTGAGGCTGCATGGCCAGCCTTGAAATAGAGAGGAGGATGAACGTTAGAGGTATGCAACTTCTCCCCCAAAAGAATATACTCTCTCTATCTGTCTTCTCCTTCCTCAAGTGGACTGACTTGATCGTCGGAGGGTCTATTCGGCACACCACCGCCGGGCAGCTCACCGTTTCTGTGTAACCAGGTAGACGCCGTCAAGAGAAGCTTGGAGCACAAGGAGTACGGAAAGCAGAGGATATTTCGCCCCCGCACAGTGCACACTTTCTGCTTTCTTCTTTCGGCTCTCTTTGCCCCTTTGTACACTCTCCCCTCTATAAAAGGAGAGTCATCTTCACATTGTAAAGACACACTTAACATCAATCATAATACATACAATTTATTCTCTTTCTATCAATTTATCTTACAGTGGGGATATATCACATCCAGTTTGGGTCTATAAGGAACAAATGGTTGTTTCGAAGGTGATTACTGAAGCTTGCAAATGTCTATTGCATTATCGAGGTGATAGCAGCAGTGCTGTTGAACCAGTACCCATAGTCGTAGGGGGGCTAAACAGGGAGATGGTTTGTAAAGAGGATGCTAATGTGGATGATGAGGTGGCGTGCTCGAATGAGGTGGAAACCATTGAGAGGCATTACGAGAATGGTGTTGTCGCCACGAGTTACGGTTGGGATGGGATTGGGAGTAGGAGTGGTCAGTGAAGTTGTAAGGTCCTCCCCATCAATGGTGGCTGAAACGGGTGTTTAGTGGTCTTGGAAGACCAAACATCGTGACTGATAGTAGAGAAGCTAGAGTAGCTGTAACTCTGCCTGGGATTAATGTGCAACGGCATGACGAGAATGTGGATGATGTAATAATTACACCTGGTTTTGTTCCTAGTGCAACCGGGGCAGATTTTGAAAGGCCTCATGTTAATGTTGAGGTAGTGCTGGGAAAAGCCCAAGTGCTTGGGCCTGTGTTAGGGAAAGCTCAAGTTGGTGGGCCTGGTAGTGGATTGCGCACTAAAGCAGTGGTAGGTGGTGTGGTGGGCCATGATCAGCCACTAAGGGGTCCAGAATAGAGAAGGTAGGCTTTTGGTGGAAAATACAAGCAACTATATTAGGGGCTCTGGGTGTACCAGGTCACAAATTCAGGGAAATAGATACAGAAGGCGGAGGAAATTATCAAGAACTGAAACACTCTTGGTTCGAAGAATGGCGAGAGGGGCGAAGGTCTCGAGGATAAAAGGGGTAACGCCAGTTGGGAGTTGGCATAGAGGTGCGTGGTGCCGAGCAGCTGTGGTGGCTCTCTCTTCATCCTCCTCAACGACCAATCGGAAATATGTGGCTATTGGATGAAGCCGATGCAACGGTACAGTTGGGGAAACGTTTTGGACTAGATTGTAGTGGGAAAGAATCAGAAGTGTTGGCTCAGTGTACGGAGTTAGAATTGAAGGATGCGGAGCTTGCAGCAGGCTGTGGGGGGTCAAACTATCCCTGAATCACATAGTTAGGTGGTTTTGGTATTTTGTGCAGTATTTACATGAAGATTCTGTCATGGAATATAAGGGGGTTTGGTAGAGATAAGAAGAGAAGAAAGTTTAAGTCAATTTTAAGTGATCGTGGGAGTAGATGTTGTCTTTTTCCAGGAAACAAAGAAAGTTGGAATCTCTGAAACGTTTATTTGACCGATTTGGCCCGGGGCTGAGATGGACTTCATGGTAATTGATCCTGATGGGCTTGCAGGTGGATTACTTTGTGTTTGGAACCCATTAGTGTTCAGTTTGAGGAGTTGCTGTGGTGCTAGGAATTTTGTTCTGCTTTCAGGTAACCATTTTCCCTACTTTTGATTGCGTTTTCTTGAATGTTTATGCTCCAAATGAGGTGTTGCTTAGGAAATGTCTATGGGACAGAAAAGGGTGATTTTAATGAGATAAGGAATCTTGGGGAAAGAAAAGGGTGTTCTGTTAGGAGTCGAGGGATGAGGGAGTTTAACCAGTTCATTGAGTCAGTGGAAGTGTCTGATTTGCCAATGTTGGGGAGGAAGTTTACGTGGTGTAATGCCTTAGAAGGGGATAAGTGGAGTAGAATTGATCGGTTTCTTATATCTCTGGAATGGTTGGGAATGTTCAATTGTAAGGTGTGGGGGTTACCAAGAGTTGTCTCCGATTATTGCCCAATTGTACTAATGGAAGATGATCGGGACTGGGGGCCAAGACCATTTAAGTTCATTAATGCTTGGACCCTGCATCCATAATTTTTCCAAATAGGAAAAACATTATGGGAAGACTCTGCGGTCACTGGATGGGCAGGATATGTCATTCATTCTAAGCTGAAAGCCCTCAGAGCTAAACTGAAGGAGTGGAATATTCATGTGTTTGGCAATGTTAAGAAGAATCTTAAAGAAGTTGGGGATGAACTCCATTTGCTGGATCTGTGTGCGGAATCTAGGGAACTTAATGAAACTGAACTGGCTAGAGCAAGATTGCTTAGAGATGAGGTTTGGAAGTGGAGCAAACGACTTGAATGGATATGGCTACAGAAGTCCAGATTGTCATGGGCGTTAAAGGGTGATCATAATACTAAGTTCTTCCACATAGTGGCTACCAGTAGGTAGAGTAAGAACTTGTTAAATTCGTTAGTAGTGGACGGTGCTCAGTGTAATGATCCGACAACAATTAAAAGGGAAACGTACAAGTTTTTCGCTACCTTGTTCAAGGAGGGTTGAAAGGTTAGGCCTTTGCTGCATGGCCCATTTAGCGCCATTTGGAGTGATGATGTGGCTATGGCAGTAGAAGGTGAATTTTCAGAGGTAGAAGTTTGGAGTGCTATCAAGGAGTGAGATGGTAATAAAGCGCCGGGTCCAGATGGATTTAACATGGTTTGTTTTCAAAAATGCCGGAAGATATTTAAGTCAGACATTATGCAATTTTTTAAGGACTTCCATCATCATGCAAAATTAGCAAAAGGTATTTCCAGCTCTTTTATTACTCTAATTCCGAAGAAGGATTGCCCCGTTACCTTGCTGGATTATTGACCAATTAGTCTGATTGGGTCGATGTATAAAATTCTCACCAAGATGCTCGCAAATAGAATGAAGAAAGTCTTACCTAGGGTGGTTAGCAGTGTACAATCAGCATTTCTGAAGGGTAAGAACATCTTGGATGGGGTACTGATAGCCAATAAAGTCGTTGACTGGTGGAAAAGGAGCCATAAGGAAGGGGTCATAACTTGATTTCCAAACTGCGTACGATTCCGTAAATTGGGAATTTCTATTACATGTTGCAAAACATTGGATTCGGTTCTTGGTTCGTTGGATGGATTAAGGAGTGTGCTGCGTCGGTAAGAATATCAGTGTTGGTGAATGGGTCGCCAACGAATGAATTCTGTCCTGAAAAAGGGCTTCGTCTGGGCGATCCACTGTCCCCTTTTCTCTTTATTGTTGTGGCTGAGGCATTGAATATTTTAAGGAGCAGAGCCAGGAATCTGGGCTTAATCAGAGGTGTGACGATAGGAGCTGGAGAGGAGGTTTTATCACACTTACAGTTTGCTGACGACATGGTGATATTTTGTGAAGCTGACAGGGGTGAGATTCTGATAATCAAAAGAATTTTGTGTTTTGAGTTAATGTCTGGGCTCAAAATTAATTTCCATAAAAGTCGTGTTTGTGGGGTGGGTGTGGAAGATTGTGTAGTGAAGGGCTTCGCTGATATTCTAAGATGCAAGAGTCAAAAACTTCCTTTCACATACTTAGGATTACCTTTGGGGGCAAGTCCTAATAGACTGTCTACTTGGAAGCCAGTTATTGAAAAGTTCAAACTTAAGTTAGCATCATGGAAAAGAAGCTTCCCCCATATGGCGGTAGAGTTACCTTGATTAAAGCAGTGCTAAATAGTTTACCGGTATGCTATCTTTCTTTATTTAAAATGCCAGAAGGAGCAAAGATACTAGATAGGGTGCAAGCAGCCTTCTTATGGGGAGGTGCGGAGTTGAAACGGGAATTGCATATGGTCAAATGGGGAGAAGTAACGAAAAACATGATTAATGGAGGCTTGGGTATCAAGGATATCAGAGAATTCAATGATTGCTTGCTAGCAAAATGGTGGTGGAGATTTGGCAAAGAGGACGATTCAATGTGGAAGATTGTTTTATGTGCTAAGTACGCATCAGCGGGTGGGAACTGGTTTCCTTTTGTGGATGAGTTATGTAGACTGTCCACTGTGTGTGGGGGGGAGGGGGGGAATCTTAGCAGTGGCTAGACGTAATTCAGATCTGGGGATTTTTTATTTAACAAACTGTTTGATAATCCCAAGGAGTGGGCATCGAATTCGATTTTGGGTAGATACTTGGTTCGGTAGTCACAGTTTGTGTTCGGAGTTCCCAAGACCTTTTTCACTGTCTGTTGAGAAGGAAGTGTCTTTGTGTACCATTGTGGAAAGGAAAAGTCGGTCGGAGGAATGGGTTTTTAATTTTCACAGAGTACTTAAAGCTTGGGAGGTGGAAGAGTTGGGTCTGCTTCGTGCCAGGTTAGATGCAGAGAATTTTCATCTGTCTGCTGAGGAAGATAGATTATGTTGGAAACCATCCCCCTCAGGTGAATTCTCGGTTGCGTCTCTTTATAGTAGGAATGTGGGAGGTGTTTTCTCTGATGTGTCCTCTTTGTTATGGAATAATCTCATTTCTTCGAAAATGTAATTTTTTGGGTGGTTAGCATGGGAAGATAGGGTAAAGACAGTGGCTTACCTTCAGAGAGTTGGCGTCCTAGGTGGCAGTGTTTGTAATCTGTGTAAATTTTGCAATTCCGAAGTGGAGTCTGCTAACTATGTGTTATTATTATGCCTGGTAATTTGGAAGGTGTGGTCCAGTTTGGTGGATTGGTGGGGATTACAATGGGTTGCTCCTAGAATAATTGGGGGCCTTCGTGACTGGTGGACTAGTTTTAAGTTTAAAAAGCTCGAGGGAGCAGTGTAGAAATCTATTCCATTGACTCTGTTGTGGTCCATCTAGAAATGTAGGAATGATTTTGTGTTTTCAGGTATGCATCCACAGCTGGATTTGCTCTCTGATCGTGTAAAGGTGCGGATTGCTCTTTGGGTTAGGTATCATCACCCCAATTGTAATTACACAGTACATGATTTGGTGTTTAATTGGCAGCAAATCCGATATTCCAAGTGATACAGGTGGGCTTTTATGAAGTAGAGGTGCTGGTTTTATCTGCTTTGGCAGATTGCTCTATTGGTCACTGTGTTGGTATCTGTTGCTCTATGTTCTGTTAGTTCTGCTTAGTTAATTTGTTGGGTTTGGCTGTTGCTGTATAGATATTAGTTTGGGTGTGGCTGGTACTCTGTGTTGGTGTCATGCCAACTTGACGGTGTGATTGCATATGATTCGTCATGTTGCATATTGCACTAATCTTTTTGTTTCTTCTTTATTAATGTAATATTTCCTTTGTCATTAATGAAGTTTTCTTATTTTTTGCTGATCAAAAAAAAAAAAAAATCAAGCATCGGTCCAAAATGCGGTGGATCGGCTCCATTTGGTCTATTTGGGTGGATCGAAATATCCTTTGCTCACTCCTAATATTTGTCTAATGTAATTTATCTATTCACTCCACCGCCACCAGTTGCTACTGACGTTCGGCAAATGTTTTAGTCAATTTTTTAATGATTTTTCAACACATATTCTTATCATTAAAAAAATTAAATCTTAAACCAAATAATATATGTCACATAAGAATAAAATTTTCACCAATTAATCCTAAATTAGATTGGCACAAAGTAAAAAATTAAATGGTAAAATTGGCATAAATTAACATGATAGACAAATTAGAATGACACTGAAAAAAAAGAAGTAAAAAAAACCACCATGAAAGACAGACCCTTACTATTTCATGCAACCATGCGATCTTCCTCCGAGCAAATGTCTCATGGGTTTAGGGTTTGCGATTTTGGGAAAAAAAAGACCCTGAAAATACATAGATTGCTAAAAAAGTCTCTCGAAGATGGGTTAGAAGACCAATAACACAACGGTGGCTTGTTCAGCAATTGTTGAGCTGAGCCAATTCATCCAATTAATGTAGGCTTTTTCAGAGCATTTGTCGATTCAATGTACGTGTATAGTAACGACAAAGCGGTTGGTTTCTTTCTCGTATTGATACATTGAACAACGTTAACATTTTGATTCTGTACCATTTCACACCGTATTTTGCTGATGAGTCCAATCATATAATTTCATATATATATATATAGAGAGAGAGAGAGAAAGAGAGAGAGAGAGAAACGAATTTCTTTGCGTATACTTTTGATAGACTCTGGCATTTTGTGGTGCTGGTTTATTCTTTTTCTCATCACTTAAATTTATTTATTTTTGATTTGATTTTATGATGATGAATTCTGTGTTGTCTGTATTGTTCTTTTTGGTAAAATATATTGGTTTACATGTTGTGGCAGAGTCAACATGAGCAATGATTTGTGATTTATAATCGTTTGGTAATTTTAGACAATAAAACAGTTGTCTGAATTTGGATTAATATGAGTCCCCTATGTTGTTTGAATGATTAATTGATGATTAACTTGATGCACTCTGATTTGAATAAGGATATCAAATATGGGCCTGGGAAAGAGAGCTAGAAAGTTTTAGGCAGTGATTAGATTATAGATTTAAGTAGGAATTTTGAAAGAAAAATGAAAAGGGAAAAAAAAAAAAGTGAGTGAAATGTGAATAAAAATTCATGATCCAAACACGTCCTTAGGTTATTCAAGTGGAAATGTCCATTTTTTCCCTCAATATTTCATAGTGAATAATGTTTTGATTTTCTTCTCAACTGACTTCTTTTTTTTTTTTGCTTCTTTTTTTTGAATATAGACATAATAGCTTATGATTCAATAAAAAGGTGTCTTAGCCCTACAGTAAAGCTTGTCCTTAGTGTTTGGGGATATTCTTGGGGATATTCTTTTGGGGGAATTGGAGAGGCCTTTTTTTTTTTTTTTTTTTTATCTTTAGTAGGTGTTTGGCATCTTCTAAAAAAAATAAAAAATCAAAAAGTCATTGAAAAGGTAAAAAAATTAACACTATACACATGTTTGGGGGAAGAAAAAAAAAGGCTGAATAGACAGAAGGTAAAAAGATAGAAATGCCCTTAGTTTTGTCCTCTTCCAACAGTGCACTTTTTGGAGGAAAAAAAAACAGTGCAGCATAGTGCACTGACGGCACAATGCATCACAGTGCGGGATGGTCACTAACATGCACGGAAAGCATGTCAGTGCTCAGAAGGGTAGGAAGGTAATTTTGCTAGTTGATACAATTTAATACACATTTTTTTGTAAAAAGTCAAAAAATTATCTCAAATATACATATTTTTTTCTACTTTTAAACCAAAAAGTTAAAAAGTACACTTATATAATTCATCCCAAACAACCCCTTAATCTAAAGCGTTGTTAAGGTTGAGAGTACAACCGTTGGTCAAGCTAACTGACACAAGATCACAAATAGTATTTCACTTGAGGTTGAGATGAGTTTGTTTCAGCTGACCTCGGGAGAGAAATATGAGAGTTATAGGAGTGGTGATTAGGTGAGAGCTGCATAAGTTTTATGCAATCTCAAGTATTAGATATACCTATTAGAGAAGCACTTTAGACTCAAATTGAGCATTGTAGACCAAACTTGGAATAGCATGTTTGGAAATTAACCTAATCTTAGTCTTGGTCTACATTTAGATTACATTCTATAAGTATTTTAAGCAAATCGTCAGTTTTATCTAATCACCTAACTTTAAACCTGGAAGAGAAGTATATTATACTTACTTTTAACTCAAGAAGTAATGTATTTTGAAACTCTATAAATGAATTTAATGTATCAAGGAAAAATTAGAAAGTAATAAAGAACAAATTAAATATAAGGAAACTAACCAAGGGTATATGAGTTATAATTTTGGAGGACTAACTGAATTTTTACTCAAATCTAAAGTCATAAAGTTTAAAATTACTCCTAATAATTCCAGAATGCCAATATAACCCAAGTTTCATATTTTTCCCACATGGAATCAAATTTCTCATAAATTTTGCATTACTACAAATGCTTTTCAACCTTCTCTCTGTAATTTAGCAGTTAACAACGTAGGGTGTTTCTTCTAACTTTCTAGTGTTAAATAGTTAGTTAATCTTGAATCAACTGTAGTGGCTACAGTTTGGTGCTATGCATTCTGTTGTCAGCTTGCCGAGGCATGAGAATCAGCTTTATTTAGAGCCTTTTACCTTTAAAATCAGCTCTTCCATCTTTTATAATGGCTTCAATGGACTGATGGAGTGGATGTTTTCAAGGGAACTGACATTTTCCAAGAGGAAACATTGGCGTACTTGGACTTCTTTATTTTTAAAGGATGGTGATGTATGTGGCTAATTGTTATGATAATAAATCTTGTTATTTTGTCGTGAAATAGCAACAGTTTGAGAAGTATCTTGACATAATGACTTCTTAATAAATTTAAAGTGCATAATTATGCTTTTGTAATGTACTATTGAGCTCAAGTTGTGCCATGTTGGACATTTTTTCGAGAGCTTTTGCACACTTACAAATTAGTCTTGTGATGGTAGACTTCCCATTATTGTTCTCTGTTTCCATATATGACAAATTATTAAGTTTAGTTACTTTCTAATGAATTCTTTTCCCACCTTTACATGGACAATTATAATGCTTTAAATGGAATATTTGGTTCCGGAAATTGGAACCTGTTTCCAGCCAATGGTACCGAACCATGATTACAGATCATTAATGATGCAGGGTCTTAACAAACAAAGAAGATCTATGATCACTTGTGTGATTTATTGCACATGTTTTGTCCCAATGTTTTTGATAGATTATTGGTATGGAGAGGAAGTTATACCAGTCGTATGCATGTTAAGTTGGACTCCGATATTTCTTGGTTTGGGCATCTCTGTCTAATTAATGAATGGCTATAGTTTAAAAAGTGTACGTATGCATAAAAGGGGTCTTTCCAATCAAATCAAGAGGTGCGTTCTTTTGGTACACATTAGTGATTTACTTTAACATTGAGCATAAGCATCACTACCGCTTTTGTTTTTCGACTACTTGTTTTTTATGATTTGTGTGATGGAAGATATAAGCTCCAAATGGGTTCTATCAGTCATTACTTGTACTTCTCTCGTGGGAATTCTTTTAAACATTTAAGCTGTGTTTGGATCATGAATTTGGAACAGGAAAGGGAAATACATATAAAATTTAGCTTATATTTCATACACATATCCCTCACATTTTCTCTCCCCCTTTTAAAATCCCTACTCAAATCCATAATCCAAACACAATGTTAGGATTAACTGCAATTGATCCAAAAATTAAGCCATTCAGTATTGCTGGATGCATAAAATATCAAACTTTGTATTGTCAGAACTTAGATGTTAATTTATATTGCCATCTTATGAAGTCCTCAATTTTATTTTTTGCTTTGAAAGCTGCAAGTAAATTTAAGAAAAGTAACAACTGTCCAATGAAGTAGCTGCAGGCAACTACAAGTTGTTTATAGGAACTTGCTTAACATGGGACTTGAACTTTTTGTGGATGTTTTGTTGCTGGATGTATGTAACATCACTCTTCGTCTTGTCCAAAATTTTCTCTGTCGTGAGATGTTAATTTTGATTGTTATCTTATGAAATCCTTGGTCTTTTTGTGTTATGAGTTTTTTTTTTTTTTTTTTGAAATTTTTTCTTTGTTCCTACAGTTCAAGTGGCACAGTGGCTCAGCAGCTTACTTCCATAATAATCTCCCATGCAACCAAGTACCAATGCCCAAAATATGAGGAGTTCTGGCTGACTTGTTCATTCATGATCTTCATGTCTTCATCTTTAGCTTGAGTGCAGCATGGACGGTCGAGTCTTCATTTTTCACTCTCTCCCCTGAAAGGCTGTCAACCCAGTGGAAAGCAAAAAAAGGTCAGACAATGGCTCTTTGAGAGAATGGTTAGTACTGCTTGCTCTACTCTCCTCCTTTCTCGCGTAAAGATTTCTGTCATTTTCCTTTGTACTTGGAGCGTCTCAAGATAGCTTTATCTTTTTGTCATTGCCTTTGTTTGTGAGGTTCCAGATGTTCCGTTCTTCGTAACCTTCTAGAACAACTTTTATTCTTTTTCAAGAATATTGGGTGCCCAACTTCTGTATTAGGAAATAGTATCAATGTATGCATTCATTTGGAATAATATGACAATAATATTTTTAAAGTGAATCCATTTGGAATAATATGACAGTAATATTTTTAAAGTGAGTAACAATGATGTACACATTTATTTCTCAAAAACTAGCATTTTAGATTATGGTTCCTCAGAGCATCTCCAATGGAGATGGCAACTAACTTGCCAAAACTATAATTTGGCAAGAGCGACAAAAAGAGGGTCTCCAATGGCCTGCTATTCTACTTGTCAAAGATAGCAGATATCATTTCTATTATCAAATTTAGTAGGTTGAATAGCAGCTGTCAAACATGCCACATCAGTAAATATCAACAGATTTTTTGCTCTAAATTCAGTTGAAAAAACAGAATTCAAACAGTAGAAAACCTCTCAAATTTCAGAATCAAACCCAAATTTCAAAGGAGTTGCCAAATACACAAATTTCAGAATAAATTTCACAATTTTAGAATAAATCTATAAATTTCAGAATCAATTTTAGAATAAATTTCACGATTTCAAAATAAATTTCACAAATTTCATAATAAATTTGAGAATTTTAGAATCACACAAATTTTGGAGGTAATTTCAAAATAGCACAGACAAATCACACAAATTTCAATTTCAGAATTAATTTTAGAATCACACAAACAAATCGCACAACAAATTTCATAATCAATTAATTTCACAAATTTATGTAAATTTCATAAATGAATTTAGATGATAAATACATAGATTGACCTCAAGGGTTTCTTCTTCAGCCAACTGGTTTGAGGAAAACGAGAGAAAGAAGATTGGTTTTGGAGATCGGAGCTCGGTGATCGGTTTAAGGACAGAAAGAGAGAGAAGACACCATCTCAGCTGACTAGTTTGAGGATAGACAGATCGAAGAGTATAATGGTTTGAAGAGAGAGAGATAGATAAATAGATAGATAGATCGGAGAGTAGACAGATCAGAGACTGATCGAAGAGTATACTGCTCTTGAGCTTAAAGACAGAGACATAGAGAAAGAGAGGGTGAGAGACGTTTCCATGATGGAGGAGGAAAATGGAAGATGAAAGTGAGAGTCAGAGTGAGAGGGAGAGTGAAGACAGAGACACATAGAGAGAGAGAGAGAGAGAGAGAGAGAGAGAGAGAGAGAGAGAGGCGTTTTAATGATGGAGGAGGAAAAGGGAAGAGGAGAGTGAGAGTCAGAGTGAGAGGGAGAGTGAATGTCTTGGAATAAGTTGGATGATTCTAGAGAAATCATCTCAACTGTTGGTTTAGGGTACATTGACGGTGGTGTGATCTGTCTTGGAAATGAAAAGAGTCGTTGTGCTCTGTTTGCCTAAAAAAAAATAAAAATAAAAATAAAAACAAAAACAAAAACAAAACTAAACAAAATACAAACAATAGCTATCTTCAGATGGTCATTTTCACTGGCTATTATCTTCAAACGAATATTTTTTATATGTAGTGAAAAAAATTGTTTTTTTTATTTTTTATTTTTTTAGTTGTATGTTTTTTGGTGGGATGAATTATATTTAATTTTTTTTTTCTAATTTTTCAATTTTTTTTTATTTTTTGTATTTGTCTAGTCGGGAATAATATAAATATATAATTTTTTTTAGAAACAGTTAAAAAAGGTCACAAAAGACAGAAACTAAAATAAAAAAAATCACTAAAAAATCTATATCCAAACAACATTTACAAATTTTAGGGGAAAGCTGGTTGAGATTTGTCAACATAACATGCGACTATTGGAGCACCATTGCTATAATTTGACAAAATAATATTATTTATTGTCAAATTATAAAAATGACAATATTATTTTAGTAAACACCATTGGAGATTCTCTTAGATTATTGGCCTATAAAACTTTAAGTATGTTGTGAAATTGTATAGGCCCATTTTTTTAAGCTGTAAAAAAGGTGAACATATTTGGTAAATAAATAGCATTTTGTTGTAAATTTTTTTAAAAAAATTAAAAAATTTAATCTAAAAGAGATAATCGAATAGCTTTTTAAAGTTGCATCAAATGTCCAACAACAGGTTTTTTATTTTGGGCACAAACTCAGATTTGGGCAGATGCTGGGAGGGTATGCTGCTGTGTAGCTGGGGGTGGTCGTGGCAGATGTGGTAGCTTGTTAAAAGGTCACAAAAGACAGAAACTAAAATAAAAAAAATCACTAAAAAATCTATATCCAAACAACATCTATAAATTTTAGGAGAAAACTGGTTGAGATTTGTCAACATAACATGCGACTATTGGAGCACCATTGCTATAATTTGACAAAATAATATTATTTATTGTCAAATTATAACAATGACAATATTATTTTAGTAAATACCATTGGAGATTCTCTTAGATTATTGGCCTATAAAACTTTAAGTATGTTGTGAAATTGTATAGGCCCATTTTTTTAAGCTGTAAAAAAGGTGAACATATTTGGTAAATAAATAGCATTTTGTTGTAAATTTTTTTAAAAAAATTAAAAAATTTAATCTAAAAGAGATAATCGAATAGCTTTTTAAAGTTGCATCAAATGTCCAACAACAGGTTTTTTATTTTGGGCACAAACTCAGATTTGGGCAGATGCTGGGAGGGTATGCTGCTGTGTAGCTGGGGGTGGTCGTGGCAGATGTGGTAGCTTGTTCCTGCTGTGTGGCTGGTCTAATCAAGGATCTGGTGCAATGTTTGATGCTGGGGTTAAGACCTGATCTGTTGTATGCTGCTGAAGTGCGTTGCTGTATGCTTCTGGTGTTTGCTGTCTTAGTGTGTATGCTGTATTATGGTGTATGATGTTGAATTGCAACAGTATGCTACTGCTATAGGCTGTTTTTTTGTTGTTTTTCCTGTTTTTTTGATTCCTCTTGATTGGCTTTTCACCAATCTTTACGTTAATGCTCGCATATGATCGTGTTTCTTTAGTGGTACCAATCTAGTTGGAATTATTAAGGTTAGCGTTGATGCTTCTTGCACTTTCCATCTTTATTGATGTAAGTTTTAGCATATTTTGCTTTCTTCATTAATAAAATTTCATTTTGCTGATCCCAAAAAAAAAAAACAAGTTTTTTATTTTATTTTATTTTTTATAATTTAAAAGTTATAATCCAAAGAAAAATGATCTAGACCTCTAAAAAAAGAGCTCTAATTTGTCTTTTTCTTTCTTCTTTTTTGTCTTTTACTTCACTGTTTTGTTTTATTTTGTTTTTTTTATTCATAGACCGCTCATTAAAGCTGTACTGCAGCAGCTCTAATTAGAGCTCTGCAGCAGCTCCGTAATCCAAATAAAAGCTAACCTAAAAGCTTTTCCTAGTAGTTGAATGAGAAACCCACAAGCATTTTTGTCATAAAACAAGTTAGGTTAACATTGACAATTACATCTTCTAGTAAAATATCAAATGCTACTACTGAAAAGTTAAAGTCTAAAATAGAAAGCAAATCAAATATTACTACTGAAAAAACTAAAAAGTCTAAAAAAGAAAGCAAAAGCAAGAGGAAGAAAGATGTACAACATTAGATGGTCACTATCTACATTAATGCTAGAATTGCTCTAATTTACATAATACCATTCAGATTATTAACCCATTCCATGCCATGAATGTAATTGTTTTCTGGCACATAAAAAACACTTTCTAATCCTTGCATTCCAAACGCCCCAAGAAATGGTGGCCCCATGGCTTCCATTGAAAAGGATGATCTCGGGCTGTTGCTTGAAATCCCATCACATCTTTCCAGTAGCTTTTGTGTCTCCTTCTCTGCCTCTGAGAGCTGTTCCTTGAGCGTCAACACCTGTGAAACAGTAATTTCAATCCTTTGAGATTGTGATTATTACTAGATTTAGTTTCTGAATCTATGAGGTTAGGACTTAGGAGCGAAAGCATGTTGTGTCCGTGTGGCTTAGTGTCATGCATGTCGAGTAAATATTTAAGGATTTTGTTAATCTGTATCTTTAAATCACATGTTAAAATTTTTAAAAAATTGTATATTTTGCATGAAAGTGAATGTAATAAAAAAAAAAATTATATTTTTAAACTTACTTAACATGTATTTTTAAGATTAATATTTAATATATTCGATGATATCACATCATCAATAATCATACTATTACTATTATTTTTTATAGTGAATGAGTGTCTTGTGAAGTTCTAGAAGGAAAGGAGGGGAAGGGGGACTTAAATAATACCATTAAACTAATAATGTATCAGTGTATAGAGAACTTATTATGAGAAGCTTAAGTGGTTGTACCTCTAAATTTTTATGGGAGATTTGTGATTTGAGTTTGTAGAAAAACATCAAACACCTAATTATGCTAATCTTATTTATTAATCTGTTGATATACTTAGTGCGGAAAAAAATAAAAAATAAAATAAAACAAGCGATGTGACAATGACAACTTTTACAATTAAGAATTATCGGTGTTCTATCCTGAAGGGGGACTTAAATAATACCATTAAACTAATAATGTATCAGTGTATAGAGAACTTATTATGAGAAGCTTAAGTGGTTGTACCTCTAAATTTTTATGGGAGATTTGTGATTTGAGTTTGTAGAAAAACATCAAACACCTAATTATGCTAATCTTATTTATTAATCTGTTGATATACTTAGGCCTCGTTTGGCAAGTGGCCATTTTAGTCAAAAAGTCAAAAAGTTACTAAAAAAATCAAAAAGCCAACAACTCATACAAAAAAGTCAAAAATTCTCTTTTCTCTCTACTTTTTGCACATTTTTTCGTAAAAAGTCAAAAAGTCATCCCAAACATACTAATTTTTTTTACATTATATTTTAGTCAAAAAGTCAAAAAATTACTAAAAAAGCCTATTCCCAAACGAGGCCTTAGTGCGAAAAAAAATAAAAAATAAAATAAAACAAGCGATGTGACAATGACAACTTTTACAATTAAGAATTATCGGTGTTCTATCCCAAAGTAAAAAGCTTATAATTCAACATCACTCCCTACAAAATTTGTATAAATAATAAACCCATTTGAGTGCTCAAAATTCAAAGGACAAGACAACTTGGAATAAACTCCAACCCCAACATCACTCCAGTTTCCATATTTTCACCAACAAAAAGAAAAGAGTCCTTTCTTTTTCCTACGGTTTCTTTGCACCCAAACAGGTAGTCAGAAAGTAATTCAGGGAACACAGAGAGAGAGAGAGGAGAGAGAGAGAGAGAGGGACCTGGGTTTCCAGCTGGCATTTCTCAACAACAACACTGTCATGTTCAGTCTTCAACTTGGAGTACTCATCCTCTAGCTTCTTAATCTTCCACCGAGCCCTTCTGTTCTGAAACCAAACAGCCACTTGGCGTGGATCCAAACCCAGTTCAGAAGCAAGCTTGTCTTTTCTCTCAGACTCGAGTTTATGTTCATTTCCAAAGCTCAACTCAAGTAGATTCACTTGTTGTTCGCTTAGCTTCCTCTTCCTAGCCCCTCCTCCATCGCTGCCAGCCTCTCCTTTGCTCTTCCTCCTCCTCCGCCGCCGCGGTTTTGCTTCTTCTGAACATATACTTTGTCGTCAGAAATCTATACACGTCTAATGCTATATGTAATTACAGTTTGTTTCGGCGAAAAGCTTTGCAAAAATATTTTCAGATTATATTTTCTGCAGAAAACGATTTCCTATGTTTTGCTGTGACTTTGAAACTATCGTGTTAGTAATATATTAGTGGTAGTTTTGCTGTGGTGGTGGAGGTAGTTGTCGTGGTAGTGGTGGTAGCGGCGGCAAGATTTTAATTTAGAAAATATTTTTGTTTTGCCTTTTAAAAGTAAAAAACGATTTCCTCTCAAATAAATTTGTTTTTCGTTGATCATGAAAGATATTTGTTATTAACTTTTGTTTTCGTCATGTCAAACACTATAAAATACGAAAAATGTTTCCTACAAAGTAATTTTTACGCAAACAAATGGAACTGAAGTGCTAAGTACTTGACCAAATGCTTGCATGAAAATTCAATAGTTACAATTGCCCTTGCAGTTAGGAAAAGCCATTTTCGAAAAGTAAAAACTGTTGCGTTAACACCAATTCAAGTCTTTGCTTTATATAATAGTAATGTATTAGAAGGTGTGCACACCCATTTGGGTGTGCAGTTACAGATTTAGATCATGAGGTTGCTAATCCTAAGGTTGCAAGTTAGCAGTTACAAAATTGCTCTTGTGGCTATTTTCAGAATCAAATTTATCCAAGCTAAGCCTTCACATACAGTATAGATAATAGAATAGGTGATGTGTTTTCATGTACTAACCTTGCTGTGGAACCAGTTGGTTGTATATCCCAGGATAGAACTGAGAGGTGAGTACCATTTGATCTTCAACCTGTGGATTCATGCTGGTTCTTCCTCTTCTCTCTCTCTCTCTCTCTCTAAAATGGGTTTGTAATATGGTGAGGAAGTGGTTGTGTTTGGAAAAGTGGATCAGTAGAGACTTTAATTTATAAAAGGAGATAGTGAAGACTTTGAGAAGGAGAGTTCATGGAAGACTTTATTTATAAAGCCAGCAATCCGAATTGGGCCTTGGTGTTTCTCGTAATTATCATCAATGCCACTCATGAATAGAAAATGAATTTCTTCCATAATGTTGATAAATAATTATTCACCAGATGGTCATGTTTACACAGTTGGTGCAAGTTAAGAATTGATAATTAGAATACAGAGATAAAAGCATATACTCTCTAGTTTTTGGCTAATCGGTTTTTTTAGTTTATTTAAATTATTTCTATTTAATAAATTATAAGTAAAAATTGCACTAAATAATTTGGTATAGACTTCTAAATTAAAATAGAGTTAATTACTTAAAAGTCATACTTACAAATATTATGATAGTTTAAGTTTTATTTAAGATTTTTTAAACCAATAAATCATATTTAGTAAAATTGAGAATATTATTAATTTTTAAAATTAAAAAAAGTATCAGTTCTGCATAGTAATATTTCAAATAATTGTTTCACTAACTGATGAAAAAAAACAGAGCATGAGATTAAATATTTTTACCCTTCTACTTATTGGTTTGATTCAACTATTCAATAAAATCGAGAATATTAACAATTTTTTCTAATTTTAAAACTGAGAACATTATCAATTTTTTCATTTTTAAAGTTTTTTTTTTAATCAATTTTGCACATCAGTGTTTTATCATGTATAGATACAAAAATTTTAATTTTGCACAAAAAAAAATTCAATTTTTTCAAAAAATATAGTATTTTTTTTTACATATAATTTTTTTTTAGTTTTTTCAATTTGAAAGTTGATATTTTAAAATTTTGAAAATCAAAATAAATATCAAATTATGTTCTTTTATAGATAATCATAAATGATAAACAATCATTATTTAAAAAACAATGCTGACTATTAAAAATTTAATAAGACTTAAGAGTCCAAAAAATATTAATTAAAACTTAATAAAATATAAATTCATAAATTAAAATTGATATATAAATGTTCAATTAAAATAAATTATAATCAATTTATATAAACTGCACAAAACAGGACTATGTGTCACTAGCAATAGCAGTTTTGGTTTTTTATTAGGTTTTTTTTCAAGTGTAGGTTCATGATACTGCCTAGTCTATTAATGGGCTTTGCTAGAGAGCTCTAATTAGAGCTGCTCAAAAGCAGCTCTAATGAGCTGTCACCATTTAAAAAAAAAAAAAAAAACAGAGGAAGGTAAAAGACAAAACAAGAGGGGGAAAATGACAAATTAATGCCTCTTTAGAGCTCCAATTTTAGAGGTCTCACTCATTTTTGTTAAATATGTGGTATGCCATTAGTCTATAGAAAAATAATACATGTGAGACTGATGTGGTATAATTGTAATTACATTTTTCCAATTATGATGCACTAATGATATTTTTGCCAAAATAAATAAATAAAATTTAGAGACTGATTTGGTATTGATATTTTTGCAATTTTGATCTTAACTTTTTTATTTCAAGTAAATGAATAAATGAGGCACATTTGTGAATAAATTATTTGCATAGCACCACCGATAGAAAAATTATAAAAAATAATAAATATATAGAACTTTTATGCTAAATATTCATACATAATGATTTGGTAATGACATTTTTATAATTATAATTCATAATGATTTTTTTTTTTAAATTTATCATTATGTGTATAAATTTTTTTTATATAAATTATATATGTATATATATATAGAATAATGTTTGGTAGCTTGAGACTTTCCCTCTCCAAATCCCCCTAACCTAATGCCCAAAACGACGTCGTTTTGGGCATTAGGTTTTTTTTTTTTTTTTTTTCATTTTTTTCCTCCATTTTCACTCTGAAACTGAAACGCAGGGGGAAGAGGAAGAGGGAGAGGGAGAGAAAGAGAGAAGAAGAAGGAAGAAGAGGGCTGTGAGCCTCACTGCCCGCCGTCGTCGCCTCACCGCCAGCTCGTCGCAGCGGCAGCAGCAGCTCCAGTTTCGATCGCCTCTCCGCCTCCGCCTCCTCCTCCCCTGAAGATTATGCCCCCTCCAGTCCCTCCTCCTCCTCCCTCTTCCTCCTTCTTCTTCCTGGTTCTAATCTGAAAAAAAAAAAAAAAAACGAACCAAAAACGGCGTCGTTTTTGGTTCGGGAGATTCGAGGAGGGGTTTCGAGCTACGTAGCATCACTGATATATATATAAGATTATCCAAAAATGCATCAACTTACAAATATTCTCTGACTGATGTAAATAATTGGAGAAATTATTACATGCTTCATGTAACATTGTCTCAAAATAATCTCAATTATTTATTTATTTATGTGGAACTGATGTGAATACAAATAAATGACTGAGATTATTTGTGATATGACCATATCAATGCCCCATGGGTAATGAATAATTACTCAAATAATTGATCCATGAATGGGGCCCACTTAATATAATAAAAAAAAAGAAGAGGGGGAGGGGGGGACCGCATGATTGACAAACTAGTAATAGGATTGAAACAAGTGTCAATTGTTTGCAATTTGTCCGAATGGATGAGGTGTGAGCAAGTTATTTTGATCAGAGATTGAAAGAGATTGTATGTGTTTCTTGTGTGCCTCAAACGCTGGTTTGTTGGAATCAAATCATTGAAGTTTTTTTTCAAAACCAAATTTAAGTAATTTTTTAATCAAATTATCCAAATTTGAAGCTCTTTCAGCTTATTTCACATCAACAAGTTGTTTTTGAAATCATGTTTTTAGACACGATTTTGAATTTAAAATTATGTTTTCAATAATCAATACATGTCTTTAAAAATCACGCAACCTTAACTAAGGCCAAGTTTGAGAAGATAAAAAAAAGTCAAAAAGTTAAAAAGTTATTCAAAAACTCAAAAAGCTAAAAAGTTAACACTATTCATCAAAAGTCAACAATTACGGCTGCACAACTCCCAATTCAAATTTTTCCCTACAAATCAATTTTTATAATTTTTTAATACACATTTTTTCATAAAAAGTCAAAAAGTTAACCCAAACATCCATATTTTTTTCCTCAATTTTTTAGTCCAAAAAGACAAAAAATGCACTTATTTAGGACACCCCAAACAACCCCTAATTTATCCTCTTTGCTTGTATGAGATAAATGTTTAGATGAAAATTGCACGACTTTGTGTTCAATTTTTTTGTAACAATTTTGAATTTGAAGTTATGTATTAAAAATACAACTTCAAAAACAATTGAGTTTGAGAAGCCTATTTTTTTAAGGGAAAATTAGTTTAACATCCCTCTTCTACTTTCAGTAATGGAAGAGATCCACAATATGTTTTTTGTAGTCTAAGGTCCCTCTATATATCACACCCACTCTCTCATTCCCTCTTTCTCATAGATTTTACTTTCTCTCTCTTCAAACCCTACATCTTTCTACTCTCTCTCATATTTGAACCTCGTTAATGGCGACTTTGACTCCGTCAATGGTGGCCTCGGCTATTTTCAAAGCCAACTCAATCACGCACATCTCGGGCTTAGTGTTTGATGTTAGTTCATTTGGAAATCACAGTTCTCAAAGCTTCATAAGATGGCAAATCATGCTTTCAGGGTGGGAAAGAAGCTTTGGGAAGAGATTTCATCTGGGACAATTTTACTCAAATTGAAAAATATGGAAGAGAATTTATCCGAATCGTGTATTCATTCGATTTCGATTTCAGGCAATGAATTCAAACAGAGAGGTCGAATAATCATGGTGATTCCATGTGGGTTGACATTGGGATCACATATTACAGTGGTAGGAAAGGCTAATTGGGCTCACCCAGAGACTGGACCAAAGATTGCATTGGTGAGAGAGAATGATTACTCTGTGCAGAGAGAAATTCTATGTTATTCAATTTTCTTTGGGTAATTTTGAATGAACGTTTGTTCATCTCTCTCTCTCTCTCTCTCTTGCTACTTGATCTCTACGTCGTCTCACTAAGCTTCAAGCAATTCGATTTCATCTCTCATTCTCTCCAGAGAAATTTTTGAATTTCTCTGGAAAAGACTAGAGAAATTCTCATAATTTGCTTGACACCAAGAGTGAAGGCAAGCAAAGCATGCTACTCAAGCGTCTGAGCATCCTTGAAAATACCGGCTTCAAAACTATCAATGGTGGAGTTGATGAAATCATGATGGCCAGGAGCATCAATGACAATGCAGTCGTATTTGGTGGTCTCAAACTTCCACAAAGCAATATCAATGTTCCCTGTTGAAAAATATTTCTCCAGTTGCAAATCATGCATGGATATACTTCGCTTCAAGAAATGATGTTGAAAAGAGAAAACATGATGGGATGAAGTGCACAAACATGCCTGCAGAAGTATCCTTGATGTTGATACAAGAGTTAAACTTGTTGCTGTCAGGGGAAATAAAAGCAAATCAGTGTTGTTTGATGCTTGCATTCTTATCACGTTCACATTCTCTCCAGAAAAATTTCCAAAATTTCTCTAGATTGAATTTTTTCTGGAGGGACCGTAGACATTATGAAAATATTAGATATCTTTTATACTATAAAATCTTGATATTAGGGACCCTAAAAAAAAAATCTCTTTTTTTAACTCTGTGTTTGGTTGGGGGATTTAGATAGGGATTTAAAAAGGGGAAAAAAAAGTATGTGAAATTATGTGAAATATAGATATATTTTATTCACATTTCACCTACCTTTTCCATATTTCTTTTCAAATTCCTCCTCAAATTTCTCAATCAAACATAGCATCAAAGAAATTCAAAAACTATTTTGGTGGAAAACAAAAATTGTAAAAAATACTTATTATTTTCATATAATTTGTTCTTTTTGGGGGTACAATTTTTTTTTTCGAATTTTTTTTTTTATAAAAAATTGGATTATTATTTTAGTCAAATTAGTTTTTTAATTTTTTTTTTTTTACAAAAATTTGAAAAAACAAGTTTTAAAAACACAATTGAACATAGTCTAGATTTGGAAAATTTGATCTACAATGATTTAGGTTTGGTAAAAAAAAAGAATGCTACCATTCACCAAACGTAGGACTCCCA